ATCTAGGAAAGCCTGGGGGGCTTCGACCTACAACCCCACTGAATGCCCAATCAGTGCCTGATTGTCCCCATTTCCCAGATGGGAGCACTGAGTTGGTGGGGAGATGAATCAAGGGACTTAAAAGTGGGTGCGTGGGGAGCCCCATTTCAGTCATTCTCCTGCCTCAAAACCCACCTGTTGCTTTCAGTCTCTCTCTTCTTGGAGGGTCGATAGGCTGCCAGGGATAGACCCCAAAGAGCACAGGACAAAGTGACAGTAGGATGTGATGGGAGATGCAGTATGTATTCCTGAGGGTCACCTCCCAGCCGCGACTCAGGAGGAGGTGAGAGAGAATCTGGCCAGCAGGCCTTTGAACAGCACCATTTCCCGGACCCTCCTGCTCTCTGCAGATTTATGGGGAGAGGCGGGATGAGGGAAGATTGTTGAGACCAGCTAAGAAAGTTAAGAGTTTCTTAGTTTGTCTAATACATAGAAGGAAGGGGGGAAGGATATAGCTCAAGTGGTAGAGTACAAGGCTTAGCATACCCAAGGTCCTGGGTTCAATCCCCAGTACCTCCTCCAAAAATAAAAATAAGTAAACCTAATATACAGACGAGAATTAGCCCCAGGCAGTGCCTAGCCAGCCAGGGGCAACTTCAGAGGCAGTCAACTCAGGCCAGTATCCACCAACCCAAAGAGCCCCAGAACCTGGAAATGAGCCCCAGGATCCCATGTGAGCAATCAGACTACAGTAAACCTGGCAAGCAGACCCACTTCCCCTTGGATTCAGGATCAAGAGACCAAGAGCATCTGGACTCTGCTCACCCAGGTCCCCTTCATTGCACACCAAGCTTTGGAGGAAGGGGAGGCACCCCACCACCACCCCATCCCAGTCCCATAGGGGTATAGGGTAAGTTTCTTACAGACCCGGGTCAAGTCCCAACACTGCTCTTGATTTAATCTCCCAGCCCCTCCTCCGTGAAATGCAGAAACTAACACCTCCAAGTGCTACAAGGATTACTTGCAAAGGCCTAGTGGAGAGCCCGGCCACCTCTCTTTTCATTGCTGGGGCCTGCCCAGCCTCACCTCACCAGCTCCAGATGTGCAGCAAAGTCAGAGCAGTGAGAACAGTCAGGTTGCCCCAGAACCTCCTCACTTCCTTCCACCTTTGGGGAACTCTTGTCTGAGCTACTCTGTAAGCAGATCCAAGCATCAGCACTTCTAGGGGACTAAGAAAAGTAAGGAAACAATTCAGGAAAATCTTGTTCACTGCTTGTCTACTATCCATGCCCCCCTTTCCTTATTATTAAAACCCTTTTTCTTTTCTTTCAAAGTGTCACAATGCCCAGCTCAAAATAGTTGGTTGTAGCTAGGACTAGCTATATTATATAGCTAAGGCCAAAGAGATGGAAGTAGAAATCCCTGGAGAGAGTGCTTCTTGCATGATAAGAAGGCAAAAGTCTCTTGAAGGAAAGCTTTTTGCACCTTACCCGTCCTCTGTCTTCCAACCTGGAACATGGACATTGAGACCTGGAGATATAGCAGCCATCTTGTGATCATGAAGCAACATTCATGAGGGGAAAAGCATACATGCTATAGATAACAGAGCAAAAAAAAATGAAAAGACAATGGGTGTCATATGACATCTCTGGGCCCCTGAACCAACCCTGAACTGCCTACCCCGGACTTCTTGTTACATAGGGCAATTAAAGCCACTATTGTTAGATTATCTGGAACTCAAAACTGCATAAATCCCTAACTGATAGAGATTTTTACACCTGGAAGTGGAGTCCTCAAACAAAAGAATCTAAAAGGTGAAATTGGCCAAGTGGAGGAGGGAAGATAGTGAGATATGAGGACCCAGGCTGAAAAGTCAGGCAACTTTGCTAGAAAATGACAAAATATTCGATCAAACTGTCCCCTGATGTATCTTGGGATACAGACCAAATGGAAACCTAGGTGCAGTGATAGAGGAAGTGGTAGGAAAAGCTTAGCAAATTAGCATGAGCTGGCTGGCTCCTGGAAACTTTCATCAAAGATCTGAAAGAGAAAGAGGCTGCTATTACAAAAACTTACAGTGGGTGTAATTGGCTTTGGGACAAGGCAATGAATGGGTGCAAGCTAGAATGACCTCAAGACCTCAGGGAGGTTGCTGGTAATAATTTGAAGGAGAGCGAGGAAGTTGTTACTGGAGACTGAAGAAAAGGAGACCCCTACTGTGTCGCGGTGGAATGTCTGGAAACACTAGTATCCATGGTAACGTGCAAAACAGAAAGATTACCTAATGAACTCACGGGTTGGCTAAGGAGATTTTTAGACAGAATCCTGAAAGTCCCAACTGGCTTCTTCTGGCTGCCTGTGATAAGATATGAGAAGAAAGAAATGAACTAAAGAAGAAACTCTTCAGCTTTGAGCAGAATTTAGAGGAAATATAGAGGGCCCCAGACAGCCTTTCCAGGCAGCAAATGACTCTCAAAGCCATAAATAGCCTCAGGGCAAAGATCAAATCCAAAGCCATGCCATGGTAAAGGATTTCAGAGTGAGACCACGTCAGAGGAGACTTCAAAAGGGCTTAAGGGCACATCTCAGATCTTCTCAGATAAACAGTATGGCTTCTAATAGTTTTACTCATTTATTTCTTATTTTGTAGGGGAGAGGTAATTAAGTTTATTTATTCATTTTTTTAATGGAGGTACTAGGGAATTGAACCCAGGACCCTGTGCATGCTAAGCACGTGTTCTACCACCGAGCTATATCCTCCCCCTTGGCTTCCAATAATTTTAGAAGTGTGTCTCTTGACCCTTTCAGACAAGAAGGCCTCTAAAAATAATAAGGGCATTTTCTCACAGCATCCTGACTCTAAGATACAGAGAGGCACCTCTCAAAGAGATTTGTAAATATGGCTTTTGTCTCATTAAGTGAATTATAAGTTGATACACAGGAAGCTCACAACATTTTTAAAGGAATTTTATTATCTTGGACTGAAAGGACTAGAGACTGCTCAAAACAAAAAGAAGCTATGGGCAAGAAACAGACTGAGAAATCCACTTAGCTACAAACACAGACATTTCTTATAGAAAAGAAAAAGTTAATTCAAAATGAAACCAAGAGCCTAGAGGGTGGGGCCAAGAAGAACAATTTATAGAAAGCAGAACTGGGTCCTAGTCAAGAATCTGGTGGCACGTGTCTGACACAATTTCAGAATTGCTATGGACCAATTTGTGCCTCCAATCCACCCCTTTTTTTTTGTTTTGTTTCTGGGGGGCAGAGGTAATTAGGTTCATTTTATTTTATTTTTTAAAGGAGGTACTTGGGATTGAACCCAGGACCTCGTGCGTGCTAAGCATGTGCTCTACCACTTGAGTTATACCCTCCTCCCATCACCCTTCTTTGAATAGGAGTGTTTATTGGAGTTATCGATCACTGTCTGATCTTTGTACAGTGAATGTGTTGTTTGCAAATCTCCAGATCAAAGGGAATCATTCTTGAGGACCTGGTCTTGAGAAGTTGTGGAGGAACTGCACCTGAGAAGCCAAATCCATATCTAGAACTGACTTAAATAACAGGATCCTGGATCTTCAAGTTGATGCCTCCATGGAATAAGACTTTAGATTTGGGGAAGGAAGTGAGTAGGTTTTGCACATGAAATGGATGTGAACTGTGGTTGCTAGAAAACAGACTACAGTACGTAATCCCCAAAGATGGTCACTGTCAATTTCATGCATGCTGTTCCTCACATTAGAAGATGGAGCCTAATTCTCCTCCCCTTGAATCTGGGCCAAACTCAGTAACTTGCTTGATCAACAGAATGCAGCAGAAGCCATGTGCTGGGATTTCCGTGATAAATCTTAAGAAGCCTCACAGCTCCCCTTTGGGCATCTTGGGATGCTTGCTTTGGGGGCATTCCTTCTCAGAACCAAGTTGCCATGTTCTGGGAAGTCCAAGCCACACAGAGAGGCCTTGAGTGGGCATTCCACACGGAAGCCCCAGCTGAGCTCCCAGCTGACAACCAGCATCAATTACAAGACACATTGAATGAGCCACCTTGGATGCTGAGTTAGCTTGAACTTTCAGATGACTCCAGCCCCAACTTCCATCTGCAACCCCATGAGAGGTCCCACATGAGAACCCCATCATCTGATCCCAGTCTCCACAAAGAACCTTGAGAGATGATAAATTTACTGTTTAATTTACCAAGCGTTGGGGTGGTTTGTGATGCAGCAATAACTGGAAGGGCAACTCTGAGCCACTGGACCAAACCTGAACTGCACACCAGAGACATCTTATTGTCTGAGGCATTTAAGTGTCCATTTATTGAAGCCATTGTTAGGTTTTCTGCAACTTACAAGTGAATACATTCCTAACTAGTAAAGAATCTGGTAACTGAAGTGGGCTCCATCGAAGAAAAGAAAAAAAGAACCTAAAATGTGGAATTGGATGAAGAGACGAAAGGATAACATATGAGCACCCTAACCTTTGCATACTGGAAAGTTGGTGGTTTTGTTATGAGACAGCAAAGCATTTGGCCAAACTGTCATTTGATGCACCAGAGGGTGCGGAATAATATACAGTCACTTAGGCTACAATCTTAGGCAACAGAGTAGAAAAAATACGAATGTTGGTACGAACTGGCTCCTAGGAGCTTTCAGCAGAGACCAACAGGAGAAGAAAGAACCCAGACTGGAGCTAGCCAATCAGAAAGCAGATAGAAAAAGAAACACAGCTTTGCTAGAAACAGGGACACTGCCTATGGCCTGTGATCTGACAGGAAGTCCTTAACACAAAGCTCTGCCAGGCTGGTTAGACTAACGCCCCTCGAGCTGACCCTAGAACAACTGATTTTTTGTAATATTGAATGTCAAGGTCTGTTCTTCATTCTGAAACTATACCCTTCCTTTTTTGTTGAAGTTTTCTTTTTATGAAATGCTAGTGATGGTGGATGGTATTTGCCCTTTGAAAATAGCTTTATCTGGCAAAATTTAAAAAATGTTAGTGATATTGGTCAACAAGCAAAAACAATATTTTCAACAAGTGAAAAAGTTTATTGAGTATAAAACTAACTACAGAGAGTCCTCCTGGGCCCCCGAGGCCCACGGGAGGGAGGAGAGCGCACTGCATCAGGACCGCCCTGGGGCGCCCTGGAAGAAGTCGTTGCACATGATAGTGATGAGGGCCAGGAAAACAGCGTACTCCTGGAAGTCCACCTCCTGGTCGCTGTTCTCATCCAGATCACCCATCAGCTTCTTCAGGCCCTCCTCGTCCACCTTCTCCTGGAATCGAGAGAGTGGGGTCATCAGCGGGCTGCTCCCGCGGGTCAGAGCCCCGCTGTCCCTCCGCACTGAGCAGCCGGGTGAGTGGCGGGTAGGCAGCCCCCGGGAGCCACTGGGCGGCCCCGTGAGTGGGGACAGGGAGTCTCCAGCTCTCCGGGCTGGGAGTGGGGAACGCGCCAAGCACCCTCTAAGCACAGGATTCGCTCTACTCCCCACAGGAGCCCAGCGAGGTGGGCATTACCCTCATCGGCTGATGAGGAAATGACAGTTTTCTGAGGCCACCACCACTCCCCATCACCAGCAAGGTGAATTCAGAAAAGACACACCCTTTTTCATACCAGCCAAAATAAAATCAAATTAGACAAATGCGACCAAAAGAAACATTTAAAAAGAAAGGGCCTGTCTCAAAGTTCAAAGCCTGAGACCTGACTTTGGGATTCCCCAGGAGTCGATAAGGGGAAGGTAAGGGGCAAACTGAGAGCTGACTGCGTGTCTCCGCACAACGTCCCGGGGGGGGGGTGGTCTTCGCTGGACTGCTCTCTCCTTACACACTTTTGTACTTTGGCACATAAATATGGAAAATGAGAGAGAGAGAGAGAGAGAGAGGACGACACACACACACACACACACACAC